TTTTTTTTTAATAAGTTTATTTATAATGAATTAGCTAAACCCATAGGTTAGTAAAAAACTGTCATATTGTTTTTCCATTTTCTACTCCAAATATTTTTTCGAGGGGTGATTTTTATCACCTCTATAATTATTTAATCTAGAGATTCTTAGAATTTGTATGACATTTTAATATTTTGCGCAATTAATGGTAATATGTTACACTGTAAAAATGTAACATAAATTGGTTTTTCATTTTTGAAATTATATAAATACGGAATGAATGAGTCAGTAAAGCATATCCAATTCTTAATCGAATATTAATGACTTCTTCATACATGGTGTTGTTTGGCGAGTAGTACTTATAAGAAGATTTTTTTATATTTTAAACTTATTACAGTTTGGTGCATCGTCCCAAAGCTTCTTAAATCTCTCTTTTGTAATTTTTTATTGTCTCTTAGAATCCCTTTTTTTGAGTGATGTTGTTGACATGTACCAGAGGTATTTTAAAGTCTCATTTAATAAAAATGGTGTTTTATTTTAAACTATTAGACTTAAAATAATGGACAGTACAGATTCCTAATTATCTATGCTTAAATGATGTAAAAACAGTGTATATTTGAAGAATAGTTTTCTTCATAACTTATGATAATAATCACTGAATTAGTTCGAATAGCTCCTGTAACTAGTTTGATCCGACAATTTAAATAGACAGATTCTAGAATTTTTAGGTTTAGTTGGAAGTTAATAGTTGATAGACCCATACTCAATCTAAAACAGTATTGTAGCTTTTAAATAGTGATCAAACTATATTCTTTATGCTCTTTATATATTTTGTGCTAAATTAATTTAATTTTTATATTACTATTTTTGAAATTTTTCTGTTTTTAAATCTAAAAAGTATAAAATTAGCAAATCTGTGTAAGTTGATTTTTTCTAACTCGTTAAAATTAAAATGAGTCAATGAGTAATCAACCTTTATTGGAGACTAAATGTTTTCTTCCCTATATTTTTTAAAAAAAGTATTTCTAAATATGTTATAAATTATTAATACACCAAATACTCCTATTTAAAAAATAAATACAGTCAACAAATTAGCGTCGAAGTGTTTTTTATAATGGTGATTTTAAATAATCTTAAATATCATCTATACTTGTCTTGAAAATGACAATAGAAATTTTTTTAATTAAAAAGTTTGATAATAGAATATTCATTTTAAATCAAAAGGTATATATTATATTTTATAAAGTTACTTTTTAAAACTTTTAACCTTAATATTTTGAAATATTTGTATAATATCAACTATGTTTTTATAAAATACTTATTATGACTGAATAAATGTGTTATTTGTACTAATTATTGATATTTTGGTTTAAATATTCTATGATTCACTATTTTTTTTTTAATTAGTTTAATGTTGGTAAAATACATTTCTATATCTTATTTTAATCGTAGGGGGGTCATCCCCATATTCTAACATTTATAATTCTTATGATGTTTACTGCCACCTTGTCGTGCAGTTGTCGTTCTTGCCCATAAAATTGTTTATTCTAAGAAATTAGCAATATTTAAGTTCCTTTTTTCTAACACAATTAACCTATCTTTGTTTTCAATTTCATGTTTCTTCTTATACGGAAAGTGTCTTATAAAATTATGTTGATACTGAATCAGTCAAANGTAAATATTTTTATTTTTTAAATGTATCTTTGTCATAACAAAAGCAATTCAAAGTTTTTTTTATAAAATAAACAAAAGCGTTCTTATGGAGGGAGGCAAAAAAAAACTTTGAATCGTTCTTATTTCGATGACAAAAAAAGTAAAAGAATAAAATCGTCTTAATATCACTAATGTGTATATTGAAAGGTTATGCTTGCAAATCAGTGTATACCCTAAATTAATAAAAAGAGCTTTTTGCGAAAACACCAATGAATACCGTTATTAATTGTTGTGTTCTCCTCAATGAATCATATAGTAAATAGTTTTATACATTGTACAAAGTTTTACTTTGTTAAAACGAACGGATTATATTACTTTGGAGGAAATTGAGTACTCATTCTTGCATACACGTTAGTGTGACAGTATCGGATTACATCATTTGAGTATGTATATTTATATATATGACATTAGTAGTTCCTGATTTCCTGCTAACAAAACCAAAAAGCAGACAAAGAAGTCTACAGGTTTTTTACGTACTCGAATTTCATATTTAAGCATATAATTTATACATGCTGAAAAATATAAAGTATAAAATATTACAATATGATATCAATTGAAATTATTGACGAATTCAATATTATACAGTGAAGTCAATACTGAAAGATTAAAACTATACTTTTTTAGTTATAATATATATCATATCAACTTTTTTTTAATTTATAGTGATTATTTTTAAAACATGTTTATTAAACTAAACTTTAATAATTTATTTCATTCTTGTATGAAACATAAAACACAAACTCTAGATTTGTATTAAATAAGTATAATTTCATGAACTATCCTAATGAAAAATTTTATCTTTAATAAAAAAAAAGCAAATCAATTTTACATAAAGTATGATAAATTAATATACTGAATAAAAAAATAAATAAATGAAATTTGATGATATTACTATGATACTTCATTAATCGTAACTTAATGATTAATTGTTAATAATTTATCTAAAAAAACAATATAACGTAATAAAATACAGTATGACACTACAACTCTTTTATAACATGTCAGCTATAGATAACTGAATACTATCATAAAGTTATATCACTTTGGGTGGATATTTGGTTGAATTTTTTGGGGGTCAGAATAATTTTTTAAATAATTATCCGCAGGAGCATTTTATTCAATTTAACCACTTAGTCTAACCCATCCCGCAGGGGCATTACTATACGGTTTATATCGTTATTATTGGTCTAAAGAATCAAGTGTCCCAACTTTAGGCTATGCGCCAAAAGTGTTAAAATAACGTATATTTCTTTTTGAAAATATAATTTAAATAATATTCTTACAAGATTTTATAATGCAATTTTTTCTATTCTATTCATATATTAATTATTAAAAATAATTGAAGTACAATCGTTAACAATAATAGTAATATCTTATTATTCAATAAATAAGTTGTGGTACTTATTTTTGATTTGTATTTAAAACGTCAAGTATTAAGGTTGAATGAAGATACTGGCGAGTATGCAATAAATTACCATGGTGAAGTATTTAACAACAACAATATATTAACAATATGAAACATTTTGACTACCAATGGATTCAAAAAGAGCAGGTGGTTGTGATTAAATAAACCGTCCGCTAGGCGTCGCATCATGCGTTGCCCAAGGGAAGAAAGGAAGGAACCAGTCCGTAATGATTGTGAAGAGAGCAGTTCCACCAACGATAATAATTAAAATTTATTTTATAATTGTTAGTTTTTAAATAAGAATTATACTGAACATCGCTAGAAAATTTTTAAATAATTATTAATATCTAACACAGGTCATTTGATATTTTTACAATTATTTTTTGCTATTGCCTACTAACAAATCAGGCGTTCTCTTCTCCCCTCCACAGTTATCGTCCTGCGGCGTACGAATATGGCATCGGTATGCTCGATGGCGGTCCTCCTAGCGGCTAGTTTTGAATAAACCGACGTACTGCGTGGTGGTCCGTGTTGCCGTCCGATCCGCTTCAAATTATTTTTTTAGATTTTACTATTTTTTTAATTTTTATTTTATTTACACGCGGAATAGTGCATGACTACGTATGATAATATTTTACATTTCTGTAATTATTAATATTTATCCGTCGCGACCTTACTGATAGTTTTCGTGGTCGCGTGTGCCCTGTGTAAGTGTTGTTTTGATTGTGCGTGTGTTGCTGTGCTTTTGTCCGTTGTTTTTGATAGCAGTGTGTGCGAGACGGTTATCATGCGCTCCATTGAATTCGGATAAATCTTATTCCACTGGTTTGTATCGATTTTAAATAGAAATCGTTATTGGGCTTGCCAATTGCGATTGCTGCCCTTATAACCGACGACGTACCAACCATGAGGAGAAGACAGCCATGCAGAACTCGGATGGTGGTCGGTGCGAGCATTTTGCTAATATTTTTGACATTGGCTTTAGCACCCGACCAAGCATCAGGTAAAACGCACGTTTACGAATTATTAATGATGAAACATGTACCCCAAAACGTAGAATAGGTTTATTTTCCGTTTTCGATTAGGTTTTTGCACTCGACGGTATTACCTGACTAATATGCAACCTTTACAAAAAGGTGACACAATAGGTTCATAGGCAAAAATATGGTTATGCGATTGAACCTTCGTCTGTTTGATTCATTATTGACGTCCATTAACATTTTACAATCGCATGCAAGTCAGTGTACAAAATAGTGTAAACATATCAGGTGTATAAAAATTCTCTTATAAGATGTATATTGAATTGTTTTCGTATCGTTTCTGTTGTCACAAGTTACACAACAGCTATCTATATGACTTTTGACCTCGGTGATTTCAACGCTGGCTACAGCCGGTATTCTCCTAAAAGCTCATACTTTCTTCGTTATTTGCCGCCGAGTTGTTTGTTTACATTATTTTTTTATAATGCGTATCGCAAAGAAATTTGAACTGAAATTATCAATACTTGTTATCGACTGATTCGTTTGAAATGCGCTGAAGTGAGCTGTGTTTGCTTGCCGTTTCTGCTGTAAGAAAACACGCGTCTTAATCAACAAGTCCCCGTCGTCGCGGTGTGACATCACCCTCGGCTTACTCCCATTTCTTGTCAGCACAATGCAGCCGTCGTCTCCGTCTAACCGATAGACGTGTGTACACCTTTACAATCACAGCTGGACCACTACATAATAGTTTGGAAAAATACATAACTGAACTCAACCGAATGTCAACAATTTTGCATAAAATAACGCCATGATTTTTTTATTATTGGTGTTTAATTAACTGGTCGATGGACAGAGTAGCCGTGACCGTCGTGTAACGAGACGTGTTTAAACATCTATTTAAATTGGTTCATTGGCTCCAAATTATCGACTGCAAATTTAGCGTTAACCCAACAGCCGTGTCACCGTATTACCGAATACGGTTATTGTGATTATTTCGATACTCGTGCAAAGACAATNGTTCATTGGCTCCAAATTATCGACTGCAAATTTAGCGTTAACCCAACAGCCGTGTCACCGTATTACCGAATACGGTTATTGTGTTTATTTCGATACTTGTGCAAAGACAATGTTACCCGGTGCGGCATTACTGTCAATTTTATGAGTCCAGTAATGTATTTTTAATTCTCATTTTGCGCGCTAGCTATTCGCTTTTCAGCAGCACCCGCATTTAATAGTTCGCGGTCCGTCGGTTGTAACGGTTTTTTCACTCCCCCCTCAAATGTGCACTTTGAGCAACCCTGCATTATTTGCTGGCTTGTCACGGTCGGGGAGCCCAAAAACCCTCCGTATGCACACACTATAATGTACAAAAACACAACCCCTACCCGTCCGCTCGCCCTTCCGAACATCTGCCGAGGTTCTCCTTCGTCCGGTAGGTATGCACGGTCTAACCGCCACCACCACTCAATGCATTTGTGCAGCTGTTTTGTATAATATTATATATGTACAGTGTATAATACGATGTATACGAAATTTTCGGGCGTCCGTCCAACACGCGTTTGCCAAACTCCTCGACCAAACAAGTGGTCTCCCGTGGCTTATGACTGGCATTGTAAGAGTAAAAAATACTGTTAAAACAAAATCTAAAAATCTGCTTTGTCTTTTAGGCTAAAGATTTAACGTTAATCGTCTTGTGGGACGTGATTTTTAATCGAGTAACACTCTGAAATAATTCATGATAAAAAACGTTTTGGATAAATGAACAAATGAGAACGAGAAACAATAAACGGAAAGAAGACCACAGGAATGATCGTGACGTTGCACTTTTATTAATTTGTTGTATCAAACACACGCTGAGATGACTGTAGTGTCCGCCGACGATGATAAAACATCATTTCAAATGTTTTTTGTATGTTGAACAATATGAACCGCCATCATCGAATGAGACACTTATTCTATGCGATATTCAATTATATGTTGTTTTTTGATAATTTAAGCTTGTAAATTTTTGTCTTCAAGGATAATTTTACACAAAATGTGTTGTATAAATGATGATCGTTAGTAGGAGTAGATATGGTATCGTTAGATTAAATTGGACAAGTATTCGTTTTGTGTTAAGAGAGAAATGTTTAAATTGTCATATAAAATTAAAAAACCGATAAGAAGGGACTGAATGCGAGTAAAATAATCAGCTATGCGGATAATCCTTTATATAAATTTCGGGATATTTCTATTGTGTTTAGTGGTAGATAACTTTGTGAAATTAAATTGAGATGTTGTCTTTTCATTGTAATTAAGTTTTGTACGTATGAGAGATAAAATTTTAGGATCGATGGAGACAGAATATCAGTTTATGGATATAGATAGTATGTTTATAATAGCTGTGGATATTTTGTGTACATCCGATTTGTTTGGTCGTGAGAAAAAAAAGGCTTAAACGAAGCACGTGTTAGAAAAATATACAAAATCAAGTGTTGTCGCAGATGTATGTTCAGCCTCAGGTACACCCGTAAGGTTTTCGGTCGTCTCTTTTTTTACACAAACACATGTATGCGCTTCTTTCCATTGGCCGCCATGTTGCTGTAGTCGACGAAGTGTATTGTTGTATTGTATGGTATCGCTTTCGTATAATTCAATACTGCTGCCGTTGGTTTATTGCTGGCAATTTCTACCTTTTTTTTCTTAGGATGTGTTATTACATGTATTGAAATCCCAAAATGTTGATGATGGTTTATTATTTTGAGATATCACACTTCATAAATTTGAACATTAGTCTGTGATCGTGAATAGTTCATAAAAACAGTAACTGTACATTTATAATATGCTTTTAATAGCGTAATATATAATAATAAATAAATATAATGGTTATTAAAAATAAAACGTAACCCAAAGTAAACCTTAGCATATTGTAGTTAATGGCGGTAATGATAATCTTTCGGTCGCTTCATTGTTTGAACCAAGTGAATTGAATTGCGACCAAACTGTGATTCTTTGTCTTTATACTGCTGTCTGTATATTATTTTATTATACACTTGTGTGTGCACTGTACATGAATACTTCTATAAGTATATAATGTGTAGTGCGCCACTAGTTTTATTTTATTCTATTAAGCTGCCGCTACGATGATATCATAGACGGCAACAGTCGCCCAGCTATGTTGGCGAATTAACGACCGCTTAATGGATCATTTCCTGCACTGTACGTCCTCTGGACCGGATGAATTCATCATATTTTGTGCCGAACTCGATTGATCGTCGCGAAGGGACCGCTGTAGCAATTGAATTTTCTTTTAATTTAAATATGTAAAATGGGTTTTTTTTAAGTCCAGCTCGTTTATATCACTGATCCTTTTTACGCCAAGAAAAAAAAAGGTATCAACATTTAGGTCAAATGTATCGGCTATTGGTCAGTTTCAAAAAATGGTTACGTTTCTCACGGAGATTCTGAGCAACCCTTTGAGCGGCCATCAAGAGAAAAAAGAAAATCCGTTTTGGTTGTGTCGTAAATCTCTTAGACGTAAAGTGTTTTTCTGAAATGTCGGTCAAACACAGACCTTTTCTTTTATCATGTTACATTACCTACAAATAAGTGGCCGTACACAACGGTCAGGCAGGAATTCAGAGAGAAAAACGTTTGTATGTATAATAGAGGTGTTGTTTGACCGCAAATAGGTGTGCCTTGGTATTTCTTCTACGTTTCCCTAACGCTAAACAAACAAAAAACGCTGCATGATTCTATTCTTACCAAAGATATGCTAATTCTAAAATATTTACTTGCTTACACGGATAATATAGCCGTGCAAACAAAACATGTTAACCATTAATATGAATTGTTTATTTTAATAGTTTCATTGATAATGTTTACAGGATCAACCGGAATAGTGTCATGCTCGCCCAACCCTTGTCTTCATGGAGGCTCTTGTTACATGAAAAGAACTGGAGAATACGCTTGCAAGTGAGTCACAGACAAAGTTGTTAAATAGTTAATTAGTATAACATTTTGCGATATCTTTTACAATAAACTCCAGAGGGATAGGTCAACTTAAGAAAGTTAGATTAGTCACTTAGTATCAATATATGTGTACAAGTGACTAATTGTATTTATTGGGTCTTATATTTAGAACTCGTTAAATAACCAGTCTTTTAACAACACGATACTTTATTATTTTTTATAGGACTAACTTTTTTTTTCATTTTAAGAATTATCTGTGAATTGAACTGTTGTAATATAAAATAATATTGACTTTCATTGCTATGGGTTTTTAATGAGAAATTCGATATTTTGTAATTAAATCTGACTATAAAGCAGCAACTATTATCGTAATACCCACAAGTGAAAATGCTATAACTTTAAAATAAAACAATAATGTTAGTTGTATTGAAAAAAAAACCCTGCTTACAGTAGTAGTAAAGTTGAACTATGATTCCATATGCTTCAAATTTCCCACCAATCAAAAAATAAATTATTTTGCTATTACCTTCTATTAGGTTTTTTCATTTATTCGATGATGAAAAATTTCTCGTCAGGTAATATCGAAAATGATATTTCAATTGTCTTAAATTACTGCTCGTATCTTGGTAATACTGTCAGTGTACCTGATAACTTTCCCGTAGAATAACCATTATCCGCATTGAATGATCTTAGGGAAGCAATTATCGGAAACGTTGCAAGACTTGTCCATTATATTCAACCGTTAGTATTGAATAGTAACAGTGTACGCGTAGAGAAGTTAAACCACGTTTTTGCGTGGGATTTTTAATAACAAAATTAATAACTAAACAATTTTTTTTATGTTTTCATAAATTCTATTTCTTATAACAACGTATTAGTAGCCCATAAATACAAATTAAGTTATTACTGCTTTCACGTGAGAATTAAACATTTCGAGATCATTCTTAACTAATTGTTATTAGATTCACAGCCTATGATATAAACATTCATTAGACTATCTGACTATACATCATAATGTTCACTATAAAAGAACACTATATTTTTTTTTTAGTTCAATGTGTCCGACACATTTTGTTTACTTTTCTTTTGAATAATTACTGTTGTTATCAAAACGGACAATGTGGGTATGAGACAGTGGACCGTGTCCAAGCGTCTTATATCAGGATCGGTAAATCATCGCTGGCAGTAGCGTGGGCGTACGGCCTTGAATTTTTGGTCGTTAAACGTAATCATGTCTTATAGATGAGATCGTTGACCAAAGATAATAGAATTTGTCACGGGCGCCGCCGAGTAAAACACACAAGCTTTTTGTTTACATTACGCCGGTACAAAAGAAAATTTTAATCGATTATCTTGATAGTCAACGGTCTAATAGAAAAGAATCGGTGTTCAGTGGTAATTCTTAGACTCATCCCTTATGCGTGAGAAATGGGTTAGAACTACTGTCAACTGATGGTTTTTCTATGTGTTAAAAAAAAATTAAAATTGAATCGCTCCCCAAAAGGTCGTCGCTACTAATTTGAACGTTTATAATGGTACCAATGGGAAAAAATCATAAAATATGTTTCGAAAAAATACATGGAACTCGACCAGGAAAATTCGATTGACAAGAGGTGACTCCAGGAGTCCCGTGTTTGGCATTCTTTTGTGGGAGATGGAAATTACATTATGCACGGTGTATTGTTGGAGCTAATAGGCAACTCTAACAAAAAAGAAATAATGAAAATCGTCACATTTTTACCACTAATAATATCACGAACAACAACACGATTTACATTTTTCGATGGTGTATTTATTGTACACATTACGTATGTGTGGTGTGCGAGTCAAATCGATAATGACAAAACCTCATATGCATAATGTACGTTCAACCATGATAAATTTTATTAAGATTCTCTCACAACGAGTAGGCAGTTATAAAATAATAACAATAATTCTTGGAAGCTTTTTTTCTTTATGTTTATTATTCATCGAGCAACGACGATGGTCTTTATTGTCCTCGAAATCAATCTGCCGTAATCCTTCGCACACAACAGAGAATACATAGAAACATCCTGTTCCGTCTCGAGGCTTTTTAGACGAAATTTACAACGTTGCTAAGGCCTTTTGTTTGCTCGTTAACGACTATCGTTCAATATATTCACTTTGAGGTACACGAAAAGATTCTGCGTGCTTGCGTTGTTAAATAATAATTAGCAAATTAAAATTGTTAATCGACTAATTAATAACTCTTATTTTATACATTTTTATTATTATTTATAAAATTTATTTCATTAATTGCCAATTTATTTACCTCGCAATGTGTAGATTTTTTTTTTTAATTTGTAACTTTTGTTGCGCGTCTCTTGAAGAGAAAGGGCACCGTCGGTTCCCACGGAGAGCAGTCGGCCATAGTACCTGGTCAGGTGAACAGCAGCAGCTATGCGCGCGAGCGCAACACGGCCTTCCGGAGGCTTTCCGTACACATCGTTCTGACACACGCACAAACCTTACCTATCAACGCGCCACGTTATAATTGCACAAAGTGTATTATATTCGACAACTAATTAAAGAAAAAAAAAATCTAAAACCCGCAGTTTGACTGACAATATCGAAATCGGCATACGAGTTTATTTAAATGTGGTTATATATTTAAACATAATAAAAAAAAAATATGTTTGACTAGTAACAAAAATAAGTCCAATGCCAAATTAACTGTGTGATTGCGACCATATTATTTATTTTAAGAGAGTTTGGGTCAATAACATACATAAATAATATGCTCTTCGTTTCTCACAGTAGACCGGTTCGGTAGGAACTCGAAATGTCTTTTCCGAACATTTATTTCGAGCGAAATTTACATTTGACATCGATGCTATTAACAGCTACCATCATTATAATATTTGTCACACAGAACATTAACTATTGAGCGATAGTCGTCGTGTACGTTTGGGCTTTCGGAAATTGGATTGGCATACGGTCGTTAAACGAGAAGGGGCAATTGATTACGGACGGCATGGCTACAGATTGTAGCGTTGGAGCGAGGGGTACTGTTCAAAAAAACAATTGAGCGTGTTACGATCTGTGTCTCTCTCCCTTCTTCCAATCCCTTGGGCTAATTCGACGATGATAAAAAAAATCACCACCCTCGATTGCACTACTATAAACACCATTTGGCGCTCGATACCCGTCCAAGTCGACTCGAAGAACCAGTTTTTTTTATATATTGTACATTATCTCTAGTTCAATATACACACTCCAAAACGGTCGTATATGATGAAAATTAGGCTGTTATCGATTAGAATATCTCGTGTATTTTATGGTAACAAATACACATGCGGTTTGAGTTATGTGCGTTTGAACTGGTCCAGGTCACCGAATGTTATCCAGCGACATAATATTATTAAACCAAAAAAGCTGGACATATGTAATTTTAGTTAGGTAAATAATATTATTACGTCGGCCACCACCGCAGTATCTCAACAAAATCAGTGTACATCTTGACTAAGTTACCGTGTAGCCGCTATGCGGTCTTAGGTACCTTCTCACATACCTACATACGTAATGACTCATATAATTATACGGTTACACTAGCAAAACATCGTACATAGTCAGTGCAACAGAAGCGCGATGTATATAAATATTCCGTTCTTTTCATTATGAAGTTATTTAAATTAAATATTCTACGTGGTAGTCAGTATCCTGCAATTACAAACCAAATTTTATGTTCATGTATGTGTTGTCAGACAAAAATAAAAACACAATAAAAGTAATAAATCTTAATAATTAATCAATCTCTCGAGCGTTGCGTAATGAATGAAATAATTTTTTAATAATTTGTTTTTATCATTCTCTTAAGTAATGTTAACACGCATACCTAAGATTTGGTTTATGTATGTACGGTTGCCATAATACGGAAAACCTTTTTTTCTTGTTGCTATTATTGAATACTCAATGTATTTTGTTCGAAATTAATAAAAAGAACACTCGTGACCGAGTTTTATCCGTTGTGTATACCATTGGGATAATTTATTGTGGCGAGAGATTTTTCGGCATCACCCCCGCCGAGGTTGTTTTATTATTATTTATTTTTTTTACAATGAAAAGGGTGCAGTTGGGTCTCGCGTCGTACAAACCATCTGGTCACGGTTAGCCGAGTACGACGAAAGAGTAATTAAGCTGGGTATTGTGTCGCACGGGACGTTCGACGTCAGAGGTGACATATCATCGTCGTCCCGTAACGCATGTACTTTGTAAGTATTACTGTGAACGCTTATTGCATCATTGCTGGCCGATCGCTTAACAGTAGAAAATGGTAATAAGTAATGGAAAAAATAGGGGTCTCGAGCAGGTGTACAGAGTGATACTGTATAAACGTTGGTAGAACAAACCATTACCGAGAGAATATCTCGGCAGCGGCCCTATAATTTCGGAAGGTAGTCCATTTCGCTAGAAGAATTATGATTGTATGCGTACCAACGGATACGTTAGAGGTCCTGTCATCCCGGCACCGCCTACTCCTACTTCGGGTTCGGATCAACGTGCCACTTAAAAGAAGCCTATAGTAGGAGGGGCAGACTGAGCTAAGAGGAATAAGAAAAAAATAGAAACCACTTAAGAGCGGTTTTGGCTTCGGGCGAAAACCGAGCCGAACCATCAATTTGGTCGGCGGCGTCGTGGCCATTACCCCGCGCGCTTACCGTTCCTGGAGGGGTCCATGTACATCATATATACTCGTTTCTTCATCTAGCCGACGACCAAAGTGTACACACAATGTTCATACACTTCCATCCCCGGCCGTCTTCTTATCTGTCCCAAAAATCACCGAGACGTGACGGTACGGATCACTTTTATTTGTCTTCTTGTGCTAGTCAGGAAATACCATTGCGCCGTGCACGGACCGCTAAAGGACAACCGCCGGCGTACGTTTAAGTGTTTTAACTTTCCAAACCTGCAATAAGTGCGCATAAAGTGCACACTGACCCGTCTGACGTTTTCGTTAGTCTCACGTAACGATTTCGGTG